GTTGCTGTGGAGCAGCCACAGGTCCCAGCACCATGGCACTAGGGGTGGAGTCAGGAGAACACAGGCAGAGAGGCTGTCCCCTACTCCTTATGCCCAGGCTGAACCCTCCAGCCCAGCCTGGCCCCTGGAGGGAGCTGGGGGGCGGGGGGGCTGGGGCCCAGGCAGACAGATGCCCCATACCACCCGGATGGGGGCAGGGGCAGCACTGGGGTGCCGAGCACTGGAGTTGGGTGCTCAGGGCAGGGTCTGGGCAGCACAGGAAGAAGCAGGTCCAGGGGGATGGGATGTGGGCAGGCCAGCCCAGCCGACCCCTTGGGAAAGTGGGGACTGGGCAGGAAGCGGGGCTGCCCCAGGGCTCTGCAGGCTCAGGGTGCAGCAGGTGGGCAGGCCAGTGGGTGGGGGTGCCCAGTGGCACCTGAGGTGGGGCCCAGCTTGTCCTGGCCCGTGCAACTCTGCAGGCATGAGGTGCAGCCCCCCTGCACATGTGGGGATGCTGCCTGTCTAGGGTAGGATGCTGGGCTTGGGGGGCTCCCAGGTATGAGCTCGGGCACCCTGCATGCCGGGCACAATACAAGTGGGGCAGAGTCACCCCCAGTACAAGGGCCTGGCCAAAGGAGTCCCCTGGGCCACAGATGGTGCTCGGGGCCAAGCCAGCTGGGAGCCTACAGAGTAGCTCCTGCCCTGACCCCAGCCCCTGGAGGGGAGCTGCGGAGGGGCAAGGCCAGGGTCTGGGCATGCCAGGCCAGCCACAGTGGCTGTTCCTGGGGGGCTGGGGCCTTGAACCGGAGGTGGCTTTGCTCAACTCACACTGTGCCCAGCATACAGGGAGGCTGAGCTGGGAGCCCCCTCAACCCAGAGTCCTGCCCTGGCCCAGTGGTGTCCCTCCATGGGCAGGGTGGCTGTGCCCATCCCTGCTAAGCTGTACGGGCTGGGCCCCACCTTGGGTACTGCTGGACACCCCTGACCACCTGCCCACCATGGTCCAAGCCCATGGAGCCCTGGGGCAGCCCCGCTTGTCACCTGGTCCCCACCTTCCCAAGGGCCCAGACAGGCCGGCCTGCCTGTGGCACCTTCCCCCACACCTGCTTCTTCCCATGCCACCCAGCCCTGCCCTGAGCACCCAGCCCCAGCGCTTGGCACCCTGATGCTGCCCTTGCCCCAGTGGCCTTCTTCCCAGCCCTGGGCCCAGGCTTCTCCCACTCCAGGACTGTCAGGGAGGCCTGAGTGCCCTGGCCCTGATGGCTGCTGCTGGGGTGTTCCTGCCTCCCTCCACCAGACACTGCCCTGATCCAGTGGGCCCAAGCCACAGCTGGTAGCAGTGGGACATACTGGCAAGGAGGGACGCACCGTCTTTCTCTTTTTCCTTTTTTCTCTCTTCTTTGTCTTCCTCTCCTCTTTTTCTCTTTCTCTTTTTTCTTTTCTTTTTCTTCTCCCTTTTTTCTTTCTCTTTTTCTTTTTCTCTCTTCTTTTTTCTCTCTCCCTTTTTTGTCTCATTTTCTCTTCTCTTTTCTTTCTTTCTTTTTCTTCTCTTTTTTCTTTTCTTTTTTCTTTACCTCTTTTTCTTTCTTTCCTTTTCTCTCTTCTCTCCTTTTTTCACTTTCTTCTTTCTCTTTCCCCCTCTCTTTTTTCTCTCCTCTTTTGCTCTTCTTTCTCTATTTCTCTTCTTTATTTTCTCTTTGATCACAACATGCTTAACAAAAAAGAATATATAAGAACAAAGGTAGTATATGAAGTTTTATTTATTGTCACCAGGTTTAGAATGTTTAGAAAACCTGGTATTTACTGTTAAAAAGCAACATTTATGATTATTAACTATATTAATATACAATGTGTCCTGCCATGTACCCCCTGCACCAGTTTTGTTTTTCTGGCATGCCAGCACTCCAGGATCTTACAAGGTAGACATTGAGCTTTTTTCAGCATCCCAGCCAAAATTGTTGCTTACCCCTGCTTTAGATACTGTAACAACTCTTCTCCATAGAGGGCTACTGGTATGCCAGGGAATTTGGAGGTGGGGCTGGTAGGGAGTAGGGCCTGCCACAGAATCCCTGACCTCCATATTTTTTGGACATACCTGTTGGCAGCAGCGGGTGAGCGAGAGCTGTGCTGACACAGCCCTACTCGCCCTGTAGCTGCTTTCCTTGCTGCCACCACTGCTTGTGTTGCCTCTGCCACAGCAAACAGCTACTTCTCCACTACCTCTGCCACTGCTACTCATCGCAGCCACCATTTCTTCCATCACCCCTGGCCCCACTCCAGCCACTAGCACTGGGTCTGCATCTAGCTCAGGGCATGGAGTGAGTTTCATGGCCCTGTCCTAGGGACTTTTGTCCAAACAGTGAAAAGTACTCTAGTAACTGTGTCTGGGAATTATTTTTATTTTCCATAGTGTTTGTGTGCACACCTTTTAAGTGCATGTTCTTTTCTGTTCCCATGTATGGGCAGTTACTTGTGAACACCTTCCCACTCCTCCCCATAAATATGAATATATTACAGTATACCGAGGCAGCACCCTGGTGAGATCTGGGGTGCTAACAACTTGAGCAGCACTGCAGGCAGAAACTCTGCTACCATGACCAGAGCCATGGCTCTGGTCAAAGTGGCTGGGCTTCTGGTAGCAGCCAATGCGCCAACAGCACTGTGGTCAGAGGCTCCACCACTGTGGCTAGAACCAGGGTTCTGGCCATTGTGGTGGGGCTTCCCATAGGGGCAGCTAGTGCTCCAGTGATAGCCTGTCACTAGCAACCCAAGTGGCACTGCAGATTCTCACAGCAGCATCCCGGGCCAGAACCAGGGCACTAGCAGCTCCAGCAGCACTGTGGGCAAATCCCACTATAGCTAGAAGCAGGAATCTGGAGAGGTGGTGGGGCTTCCTAGGATGGTAGCCAGCACTCCAGTGACTGCCAGGAGTACAGGGAGCTCCAGCAACACAGTCAGAAGCTGTTGTACTGTAGACAGAGCCCTTGGAGCCAGGTCTTTTGCCCTGGCTTTGTCCATGACACCAGGGCTTCTTCCCTTAGCATTGTTCAATGTTGTTCTCCTCAGGGTGCTGGCTACTACTGCAGGAAGACCTATCACTGCAGCCAGAGCCAAGGCAAAAGTCCTGGGCTGGATGACCTGGGTCAGTGGGCTGGATATTTGGTTAGAACAACATAGTGGAACAACATTCTTTAAGGATGGATGAGCTAGATGTAGTTATCCTGCTCCAGATTGGGGGATTGACTAGAATGATTTCTTTAGGTTCCTGCCAGCCCAATGGGTGCTTGTAGATGCGCTGTGAGGCTGCTCTGATGCACTGCAATTACCAGTGTGTGATAATTACTGTGCTTCAGCCAGCTTCCTCGTTGTGTATCAATGTCCCCGTACTTCAAAGTGGTGGTGGAGGAGCTTGAACGTTCATTGCCCATGCCACCATTTTGAAGCATGGGAATGCTGATACGTGAGATGCTGCAGTTCCTTAATTAAAGTGGCTCTTAGAGCCACTCTGTTTAAACCTCCCCCCACCTCTGGAACTGTAAAAGTGTCTTATATGTCTATGATTTCTATTATTACTTGTTTGGCTGGAGTGCCCACTATGTGCTAAGCATTTCTCAAATAGGAAGTTCAGGTTCCAGCCCCAACAGCTTACCATCCCAAATCCCAACCTTTTACTTGCACCATTGTAAACTGGCTGCTTTTGGTTTCTGTGGGGACCTGCTGAGCTCAGGGATGCAACATCTGAGATATCATTATGGGACTAGGGCCTGAAAGAGACTTTTCAGTCTAAAAGAGCTTAAAGAATAGCTCTGGGTCTCTGATGGTTCTCTAATTACCCAACCCAGCTCACCAATGGAGCTTGAGTTTAGCCTGACCCTTCATCTCCTTAATCTGACTCCTGATTCGATCTCTTGGATATGTGACCCTGCTGGTCTTTGACCATACACTGCCCAACCCTCTGGATCTCTTACTTTGCTCCTCAGATGGATCTCCTGGCTTCTGGCTTCCTGGCTTCCCTACATTCAGTCTCTGCACACTATTTCTGATCTTGGTTGCTTCTGTATACCCTGGGTGACTCTTAGACCTGGCCACCCACAACCTGGCATGACAGAATATAGGCATTGTTCCAAACAAGGGAGCAAGGCCTAAATAACTGAGGAGTCTACCTCTCATATTCAAAAGAGAGTCGTGCAATTATTAGCCTCTGTCCAATGTATTTTCAAGAATAGTTAGGCTCCTAAGAACCAGATTTTCAAAGATATTTAGGTCTCTAAAGATGCCAAATGAAATTTATAAAACACGTAAGCAGGTGAATTTCTGAATTCCTATTAAATTTATTAAAAATTAGGTGCCTAACCTTCCAAGATGTTTTTGAAAACCTACCACATGCTTCTCTGCACCATTAGGTGTCGAAATACCTCTGCAAATCTCATCCCAAGTGCCTAAATCACTTTGAAAATGGGACCTGGGCTCCAAAGTCATTGAAGCCCTGACTTGAAAGGATTAACAGCTACACTTAAATACTTAAAAAAAAAAAGTATTTTTACTTTTTACCAGATCAAGCGGGTGCATCTCACCAGTGGAGTTGCCCAGTGAAATAAGATACATAGTGAAATTCATCCAGGTAATTTTCTGAATGTTTCCATAGATTGCTGTCAGCCTGTTAAAGGATTCATACGTTTTGGGTTTTCACAGACCCTGTTAGTCTATAGATAATGATCAGCTATATCACTGATAGCACACTGGGGAAATATTAACTAAAAGTAAAAGCCTTTTATAAGAAGGTCATAAAATGCTACTAGTAATTATGTTTCTTCAAAGTTAATCATTGACTTTTGTTTATTTGAGTTTTTACTTTTTTTTCTTTTCTGTCCTCCCCCAGCTGAAAACTATAAAAAAGTCCAGCAAATTGGGTTCTTCCCTTTTAAGTGGTGCAAACCTACGCATAAAGGTGGATGGGATAGTAGTCAATTAAAACAGTTGCTTCAGGAAACCATTTGGAGACTCTTGGCTCAGGAGGAACTATGTTGGGCTACATTTGGCTTTTTTGTGGTCTGTTTGCAGTTGCTGTGCCACAGGATGTGACAACCTTTTTGAATCAATTCAATCAGAATGCAGAAGGCCTGTATTATGAAAGTTCACTTGCTTCGTGGGCCTACAACACCAACATTACAGAAGAGAATGCCAAGAAGATGGTAAGTACTCAGGACTGTCTGTGAATATCACTAGTATTTCAGAAACTAAATAGATATATTCATAGTTTAGTTTATTACTGTACATAAATCAGAATTGTTAATAGGAGAAGGAACTGTGCCTTTCTGAAGATTGGTTCAATTCTGGATTCTAGGTCAGTGGTTACTGAGCGGTAGATTAACAAAGAGCATTTAGGTTTAAGGTAACAATACCTAACCGTTAGGCATCCTGCCATCTATTGGAATGTGCAGTGCCAAGCTAGCCACCCAGCAACAGCATATGATCAGGGGATATCCAGGGCTGCCAGGAGAGGTGACACCAGAAGAGAGCCTGTGGGGGCCTCACCCTCCCATCCTCCCCTATATCCTGCACCTCCCCTTCAGTGGTAGTACACAGTGTTGAAGATGAAGATGAAGATTTGCTATTGCAGCCGAAAAAGGAGTACCAAAGGAACAGCACCATCCTGCCACACCACACTTCCATCTGTAGGAGCCCAGGGCACAGTAATAGCCAGTGATGTCTCTACCACACAATGCATCAGAAAAAGTTGGCACCTAGGAATGGGATTTGTGAAAGCAGGCACTCTAAGAAACTTAAACCAGCCAGTCTGAGTAGGGTGTCACTTGTCTATCACAGAGACTTAAGAGCCTAGATCTAGGTGACAGTGTGGTTCTACTCAGAAGTTACAGCCAAGACCCTCTCCTGGAGTTACTTGTCTACACAACACTTCAGTGATGGTGTACTTCATCTTACTTTTCTAAAGTCTATGTGCTGCATCTGGAGGAGGCTGTTATCTTGGAGAAGCCACCACAGTAAGAGTTATTAGACTTTTTACCACTAGCTGGTGGGCAAGAACTCAATAGCCAATTTGCACGAGCAATTGGCTACCCCAGAATAACTGAAGACACACAACACCCACACCCAGGCGATGTACCATGGTGTATTTTGACTGCGTCTTTTTCATGGGGCAACTTTATATTGGATTCAGTTAAATTAGAGTGATGTAGGCATGCATTTATTTGTTTATTAGCTGGGTTCTACTGCAGGGAAACTTATAGTCCTTATAAAACCTGTAGGCTGCCAGGACCCTTCCCCTTTCTAGTTTGGGTGGCTGTGCAGTGCCTGCTCAGTGTCCCTGCCCTACCCCAGTCTGGGTTCAACTGAGACTAGCTGTATCCACTCCCTGGAAGCATGTTTTGTGTTCAGTCCCTACACCATTTAGGCTAAGTACAGATAGTCAAAAAGTCCGAGGCTGAATCGATTCAGTCTTTGCAGGTTAGTTGAAGATGCAGAGATTAAACCGAGAAACAACTAGACAGACATTCACTTTTGATTCAGGGAATGCGCCACATTCCTGCAGTGGCTCAGGCTAGAAACCAGGGGGCACTAGAGCATAGCTCTCTGGCATGTAGCCAGCATGGGTTGTATGTTCACTTTCTCTTCCTGCTGCTCTCAAGATCTCTGCAATCTGCAGTCCACAATCACAAAAGCAGGACTCTGCAAGGTTGCTCATCGTTTCCTGTTCCTGTTTCCAGGTGCCTCTGGGATTTGTAATTCACGGTTGTAGCCAGCAGTATGTTTTTAGCAGGACAGGGCAGAAGGGAAATTTAACCCCCCTCCCTGCCGCCAAACCACAGGCAGGGTTTGCTTTGGGGGTAGGGGGCAGGGGGCAGGTAGGCACAGTCCCTGTCTCTCCCCTCCTCCCCCCAAACCCTTCTCTGCTGAAGCAGCCTAGCTCAGGGCTGGAAAACATGCTGGGATGCTGGGAGACTGTAATTTCACTTGAACCGGGAAGGGATCTGAGACAGAAGATTCATAAACTGGTTTAACCCAAATCAGTTAAGTCTGATACTACATTCAACCAGGTTTATCTTAAACCAATTTCAGACATTTTGAAACTGATGTATGTGCATTGGACTTCTGTTCTGCTACAGGTTTAAACCAATTTCTGATTACTTCAACCAGTTTATGTGTAACTTCTGTCCCTATCCCTAATGTCTTTCTTGTACAAACACAGCCATCAACACAGCCAGAAAGGGTACCACTCTCCCTTTTGCCCCAAGAGATTCCAGCACTTACCAGAGATGTGGAAACCTGGGGTTCAAATCTCACCTCTGGCTGAAAGATTTCCCACTTCCCCTGAGAATGCTTAACCCAATTAAGTTCACAGGGTTTTCTGGCTTGGGACACATTCAATTTCTCTTGTTTAATCTATTCAGCCTTGTATGGCATAATTAAACATTTATTGTGCCCAAGTTATCATCTGAGACTGTAAACACACTGGGCATTAGCTTGGGAGGTGCAAGAGTCAACTTCCAGTTACTGTTCCTGTGCATACTTGTTTTTTAGAACAAATTTTGTAAACTCTGTCTGGGCTTAAGTTTGAAAGCGGTGCCAAGCTGCTCAGTACTGTCAAGATTCCAGTAACTCTGTGAATGCCAAGTGGTAGAAATTTAGACACCTACCAGACTTCATTGGTGGAAACTGAGGAGTTTAGAGAACTTAGTGCAGGATTAGATAGGAACTGTGAATGTCTACATTTTGGACTTAGACATACACAGGGAAATCTAAATCTGAATCCTCTTTCATCATCATTTGGTAGCTTATCAGAAATGACTTGATGGCCTAAAATCACATCAGGGTGGATGGGAGTTCCCACCAAGAAGCAATATCCCCATTCCCATAAATTAGCACTCCTAGGACAGAAACAGGCATTGCCAAAACAAAGTGGATCACCCGGGGCAAAGCTCATCCACTTCAGTGGGTGACATACATATGTTGCCCCGTATCCTACACTGGGCAGGGGCCTGATGTGGGGCAAGGAGTCACATACTACCCTTGCCAGGGGATTCCCTTCCTCCCTCACTGCCCCTCACTTCCTTGTTGACACACCTGTGTTGATGTGTCCTTCCACATGAAGCATGGGTTGGTGCAAGTCCTGACAAGGAGGCATGGGATGGCATGGTAGCCAAGAAATTCCTGGTGCCCTGTACCTCCACACTGGTACCCACACCAGTCCTTCACTGATTCATCCTTCATCTGGAGGGATGCAGGCATGGAGCAGCATGGAAGGCAGGGATTCCCAGGCTCCCATGCCTCTGTATCACTCTGAACATGTGCCTCTGCATGAAGCACGTAACTTCCCCAGCTCCTGCACTGCCCTGTACCTCCCAGGGGCCCACGGCTCCCTGCTTAAGAAGACATGCCCTGGATATCCCAGGAATGCATCTTCATAAGTGGAGCACCTCTGGCTTTTCCCACATAACCTGGTCTTTCCCTGCTTAAGGAGATGTGCCTGGGAGATCCTAGGGGTGCATTTTTGTAAGTGGGGAAACCTTAGGTGTCACAAGATTCCACCAAGACTCCAGAGACTTGAGGGGCCTGATCCTGTCTGGGAATTTTAGGGATGTGGAGGATCAGGCCCTCCAAGCCTCTGGTGCACCTACCCAGGGTGGCTGGAGAACACAGGCAGCTCCAGCTACTCATGCTCTCCTGGCATCAGGCAAACAGAGATGCATTAAAGAGTAACACTCTATTACCACCTTTGTCACAGCCACACACACTGGGCATTTGTGGCATGACAAGAGGTATGGACATCTGTTTGCTTGGCCTTTGTACTGCCATAAACATTTTTATGGTGGAACAAACATGAGGAAAGGCAATGTCTGTTTCCACTCCTAGATATCAACAGTAGACTAGTGAGACGAATTGTTCTCTGAGAAAATGTAAGTATTGATGCAAATTTCCAGACTCCCAAATCGTAGCATCATGACTGGAAGTCAGTGGTATATATCCACAAGAATGATGCTAACAGTTATGGCTGTGTTATTTTAACTATAAAATTCATTTGAGCTTTCAACCTGTAGCTATACAGTACAATCGCTTGGTTCTAGGTAGTCATTGCATTTTGTAACAGCTATCAACTATAGACTGATTTATTAAATGATTCTTCATGGCTGCAGCTGCATTGAAAAACATCCTGTAACCTTGGAGACTTGAAAACCTAACAGAAAATACTGTGATTTTTGTGGCTGTTTTTCTTTTTTTATCCAAGGTTACAGATTAAAAATAAACACATTTTAGTGCAATGAGGATGTAGTCTAAGCTTCATAGTCTCAAAAACTACAAGTCAGAATCACTGCACCCTGTGGAAGCTTCCAGCTTAATTAAAACATGGATACCTTTCTTATTTAAAGTGTGCATGTCAATTGTCAGGAGAAATGCAAATGGCTAATCATTGTCTTTCTGTAAAGTTGTTCCCAGGCATCCTCATCTAAGGAAAATATTATAACATTTCCAAATACATAAAGTCAGACTCCATCTAGCAGCTCTCATCAGGAGCAGCATGATAATAAAGAACGCGCTGTGGTTTCAACAATGAGACCAGTCACCACAGTACTCAGATGCTTTTCTCTAGTGTATAGAGTATTCTGATAACCAGGGATCCTGGTTTTCTGTTTAAAAATTGCAAATTCTCTGATAAAAATTGCAAATTCTCTGATAAAAGCCCCCAAATCAGTGATTAAAATGAAACACCATTATATATATAGGTATCAATTGAATACAGTGTTTTATTGATAAAGTTACAATTTTAAAGCAATTTGGAAGTCTACCAATGCTTCGATCACTATAATGAAATAAATTCTAAATACCTATATATTTTGGTATTTAATTTTGGGTTTCTTATCATGGAAAATCAGAGCTCCCCCTGCCCCCTTTGCTCAACAGAACTCAAGTCCAGGCCCCCACTCGCAAGCCACAGCCCAACAGCCCCACGGGCACCCCTCACTCCCCAACCACAGCCCCCTGACCCTGCTGGTGACCCTTTATCTCCACCCACAGCCCCCTGCCCCTCCCCCCTAGCTCTGCTAGAGGGTTCCCCCAGCTGCCAGGGCTATGGGAACAAGGACTCAGGTCCGTAGTCTCTTGCCCCCAGCAGCAGACCCGAGCCCCAGCTGCCGCCTGCAGGAGGCGGGAGCAGCTGTGGTGGAGCAGTGCACAAAGCATGGAGCCCAGCTCCCCTTCCCTCGCTGGCAGCACAGCAGGAGTAGAGCCCATGGGGGGTGGGCTGCTTGCTGTGGGCTCTGGCTCCTCACCCTGCTGCCCTCCCTGTAGGGCCTCTGTGGCCCAGTGGGTGAGACCCAACATGGCAGGGCAGAGAGGGGCCAGCTTCCTTTCCTGGCCCTGCTCTGCGCTGACACTGAGGAAACCAAGCATGCCTCACCTATGCTGTAATCACCCATACCCACAGACATACTCTAAACACAGTAGTGCATCAGTAGAACATCTCTGGGCTCATCCCCAGAAGCTACAGTCAAGCACCTTGGAGACTGGGGGCTTGAAAGAAAGTGTGGAGAGACATGTCCAGAGCTTCTAGGTCTGGTGCATGCCTGAGGCAGAGGTTGGGGGAGTGAGTAGGGCCTTCCTGAGCCCCTGGGACCACCACCCTTGTGCTGTAGACAGTTCTTAAAAGCTGCAACTTGTCTCACTCATGGTTGAAGAGTCACCTGCTGTGTCATGTCTCATATGCAAGGGACTACGTGCACTGCTGGAAGAAATGCGCGCAGCTCTTTGTAAGCAGCAGCGCAGTGCATTGAGCTTGCTATAGTAGGAGTGAGGGACAGAATTCTGTTACCATTTGTGCACCTAAATGGCCTTTTCCAGCCACACAAATGGTCTTTCTGGCCCTTCAGCATGGGTAGCAATATTATTACCTATGCAGTGTGAACATACAAGTGTATGTGTATATACTGAGTGCGCTCAGCAGGTCCAGGGTTCAGCCTGGACCTTCACAAGCTGGCTGAGCAGCTATGTGGCTCTGCACACAGAGGTCACTAAATTGTAGCTGGCAAGAGCCCATGACTCTAGAGCACCCAGAGCAGCAGCCATGCACAAGGCAGTGGCTCAGTTGGCAGTGCAGCTGCTCCTATTTTTGTGCTCCCCCCCAAGGGTCCCCAATCACACCCCCTTTATAATGCTACTGCTAGCTAGAGATAATGTTTTAGTCCTAATGCTGAGTGGTTAGGGCTCCCTCACACCCAGAAGAGGCTTGAACTTGTATCTCTATGACTTTTTACCACAGCTGGGCCCATGGACAGCCAGGAGCAGAAAATATATGGGACCAGGGGGGAAAGAACAAGATAGAGGCTCAGTGGGCATGTCTACATTTGCGGCAGTCCAGTCATTGCACAGTTATTTTTAGCTGCTACTGTGCCGTAGCAATGACCTACAGTGCAGTAGCTGGTTGCCACAACAACATAGCATCTCATGTAGATGCATCCAGGAAGATGGTTTCTGCTCTATAAGGGAGTAGGCTCTAAGTTCAGCTTGGACCCTTACCTCTCCATCCATAAACTATTGAATGCAAAGTGTGGGAATTCAACTTCAAAAGGATTATTTCTCCATTGTGTGATTAATGGCACAAATGCATTGGAAGGCATCCTGCAAAGTGCTTACATCTAATTTAATACAATAGCCAGTGCATAAGTTAAACTAACATAGGAGGAAAAGAGGTCAGTGATAAGCGTGCATGGTAGCATAAATCAGCTATGAGTTCAGCTCAGCCATTCTGAATCAAATAGAAACTGTTTTTCGTGCAGAGATATTGGATATTTTATTTATGCTTTGAAATAAAAATAATTTGACAATCTATATAGTTGTAAAAGAATAGACTTAATGTGTTTTGAAAATTTTACACAGTACAGGATAAGTATTATTAACATTACTGAGAGAATGAGGAAAATCCACAAAATTAATTCTTCATGGAAAGAATGTTTTCTCTCCAGAAACATTGTCTTGCCAGATTTCTTACAAGTGAGTAACATATTTAAATGAATCTGTTTTAGAATGAAGCAGATGCCAGATGGTCTGAGTTTTATGATAAAGCATCTAACAATGCCAGTAAGTACACAATAGTTGAGAATATGGATCCTCTTATCAGACTCCAGCTTCAGTCTCTTCAAGACAAAGGATCATCAGCATTACCAGCAACAAAATACCAAAGAGTAAGTTGATAAATGTGTATAGACTGCACAAAGAATTGCACTGCATTCCAAAATGCCTCTGGCAGTGATAAAGCACATAAACAAAGAACAGGAGTAATCATATTAATATACTGAACCACCATGTTGCTGTCAAGGATATCATACCTTTCAACTAGCTAATAATAGGAACCTAGGACTGTGAGGGACCCCCTGGGTCATTGTGCTGTCTTCACCCCTATTAGTGCAGGCAACCATGTCATTAATCCATTTTATAAATTTACCAAGTCATGATGTACCTGTGATCCTACAGTATATGTATACTGATTGTTTCATTACATATGCTCCTCAAGTAGCCTAACCCTGCAGCCTGCTATTTGTTCAGTTACATAATGCACCTATAACTTTTATTTATGTCATATATCTCTTATTTATGTCAGAGGATACTCAGTGGAACTATTTATGTCACAGGATATTCAATGAAACTATTTATATGAGGAAAATTATACACATTCTTTTGTGCTTTTCAGTATTGGGCTCTAGGGGAATAAACAGAAATATAAGGACAAAGGGACATCCATGAAAGTAAAAGATGATAAATTCAAAGGAAATACCTTTTATTGCATGATGCACAGGTAGCCTGTGGAACGCACTGTCATGGGAAGCTGAGTTCAAGAATATAGCAAGATTCAAAAGGGTATAGACATTTATGTGGATCAGAAGAATATTGGGAATTATAAGAATTATTTCAAAAGAAATATTGAATGAAACGGTTCAAGGTGTAAACCTGTCAAAGTAATAGAGAAAATTTATAATAAAGAAGGTTTAACACTGAAGTAGATTATTTTACATCTGCTTATTACAGAGTTCTTATACTTTCCTCTGACGTAACTAGTGCTGGGCATTGTATATAAGCCAGTATAAGCAGATCAACACAGAAGGCTTTGCAGAACTTAAAGAATACAGATAACAATCAGGCTGCCAGCACCAAAAGGACCTTTTGTCCCCTCATTCAAAATTATGTATTATATGCTTACCTAGAAACCTCCTGTGTGGGCCCCAAAATATAACTTATTGCTACTGCTGCTGCTACCACTACAAATAGTCTTGTAGGACAGTGATAGTCTGGCCAATCCATAACTCTTTTGGATTTTAAGGACATGTAATGATCCTTAATACCCACTCCAAGATATTGCATTATTTGTCTTGTCCTGTTAGCAAAGTATTTAAGCATTGCGTGGGCCGGGAGCAACCCGAGCCCTTTTCCGTGCTGCACGCAGGCTGTGGCCAGCAGCCCGGGCACGCCGGGTCGGAGAGGGAAGGCCGTCGAGCTGGAATTAGGCACAAACGCTTAGCGGTAGTTTAAAAGATTGTTTACTTACACCGAGATGGCAGTGGTGTAGGCTGGAAAACTTGCTTGAGTTGCGGTTACAGACAGGAAACAAAACAAAACTCGAACCTGCAGGGCACGAGGATACGTCGCAAGGGGTTTTCGGCAACGGGAAGATAAACCTGCAGGACTCGAACCTGGGTAGAAGAGCTCTGAAGTCGTCCGGCAAGGACTCACACGAAGTTTGCTAGGCTCTGCGGGTCCGGTTCTTTTGCGCGCGGGAAGGGATACATCTGGACTGCGATCGACGACGGGGAGAGGCTAGAGGTTGATCAGACCTCTGTTGCCTGCTTCAAATGCGCTGGGTCCGTAAGGATCCGCAGCACTTAGAGATCTTCACACAGTGTGAAGTCTCCTCCTCCCGGTGTTCGTGGAGTCCTCCAACTTGGGCGGAAACCACTGAAGCGCTGCAACAAAGAAATGCACCCTGCAAAGAAAGCTTCAAATTGGCGGGAAATTCTCCCTTGCACTGGGGTTCTCCTTTGCAGCAGAAAACTCCACCGTGCAAAGAAGCTGCAATTTAGCGGGAACAATTTAGCAGTGCCGAAGCACACAAAAACAAAAATCACACCCTTTGGGTTGTGACAAGCATATGCTTAAAATAACCTCTTCTTAGCAAAGTGCTTACATACATGTTTAATAGGGCTGTGCGAAGTTATGGGTGCTGATTCGATTCGGGGGAGATTCAGCTCAATCCAGTGGCTGAATCTCCAAATCCAAATTGAATCAAGGGACCAATAAAAGGTCTGAATCAATTTGAAGCTCTCCGAATCTTTGGAAAATATTCAGAGAGCTTCGATGATTTGGGCAATCCCCACCCACTGCAGCAGGGAGCTGGAGCAGGACTTGGAGCTGGTAAATAGGGGGTGGGGGAGGGGACCATGGGGGGAGCCCTGCCAGGCCCCATCCCTTGCCTACTCCCCCATCTCCCCCCCATGGCTGCCTTGCCTGCCCCAGCTCCAGGTGCTTTAATAAAAGCCCAGACTCACCAGGTGCTGCTGGGCTGGGGGGTGACCCCTGCTGCCCCCCACACTGCATGGGGAGCTCTGCCATGGGCCCCCAACCCTTCCCACTCCCCTCAGCACTGCCCCCCCCATGGCTGCTCTGCCTGCCCCAGCCCTTTGAGAAAAAAAACCTGAAAAAAACCCTCACCAGCTCCTGCAGTGGCCTTGGGACTTGTGTGGGGCTCGTGGAAGAGCCCCCATGCAGCGCAGGGCAGCAGGGGCAGTGGGGATTGCCCCTACCAGGCAGGAAAAAAGTGAGTACGGGGTTTTTTTTTCTTAAAGGGCCAGAGCTGGGGTGGGCGGGGCACCCATGGGGGGGCTGGGGGAAGGGGAGGGTCGGGGGGCTCGTGGCACAGCCCCCATGCAGTGTGGAGTAGTGGGGGGCAGTGGGGATCATCCCCTGCCTAGCAGCACCTGGTGAGTGGGGGCTTTTTTTTTCAAAGTGCCAGGGCTGGGACAGCAGGTGGGGAATAGGCCTGGGTGATTCAAAGATTCGGCTGAATTGATTCAGGACAGTGATTTGAATCACCAAATCAAATCACTGTTCCCTAAATCGGCCAAATCCGAAGCGAATACTAGCCACTTCGCACAGGCCTAATGTTTAACTGCTTGGCTGATAGGGATAGACTATTGACCTGAGGTTTTAAGAAGTAATGTTAATTAAATGATTGCTACTTTGTATATAATAAGTGTTTTAAATGGGATTTCTGGTATCTCAATTTCAGCTGAACTCTATTTTAAGTAAGATGAGCACCATCTACAGTACTGGGACTGTCTGTAAACCTGGAGATCCTTTTAACTGTTTACTGCTAGAGCCAGGTACAGTATTAATTAATAGTGTTTATACAATGCTCTTCATATTGCAGGTTTTAGAAGTCGAACAGAGCACAGAGAAGATTTTTAATAGTGAAAGATGATCTTGCTTCAAATGACCTTGCTTTGGATATCTTGATCTATTTATTGTTGTTGTTTCATGTTCAGTACAATTTTGCTGGGACTGTATATATGTGGAATAATGTAGTGAAATAGCACATATTGCAGAATTCATAGATCTTTCACCTGGCCAGTTCAAAGGCCTGTGAACACTTCCTGAGGACTGTGGTAGGGAATGCTACAGTGAAGCTGCAGTAAAGGTCTGCACACAAATATTCCCTGAAAGAGATGTAATGTAGATGCCTTAGTGCAATACTGGGCACTTGCCAACATATTCACTCTCTTGGGTGCAGAATAAGAACATAAGGACTGTCATTTAGTGTATCAGACCATAGGTCCATCTTGCCTAGTATCCTGTGTCACACAGTGGCAGAGAGTGGACGCTGAAAGGGAGAGTGAACTGGGTATGACCAGGGTGTTTCCCCTCTTCCTCTCCCACTTGCAATCTTAAGCACTGTAGATACTAAAACCTCACCTTAGTATTTTGTGTGTTCTGATGACAGGTTTGGATGTTGTTATGGCTAGTGGGACTGATTATTCAGAGAAACTCTGGGCTTGGCAAGGTTGGAGAGCAGACATTGGCAAGAAGATGAGGCCACTGTATGAAGAATATGTTGAACTGAAAAATGAAGCTGCAAGGAGTAATAGTAAGTTGCAATTGCATTTGTTTTTCCTTTCAGAAATGCAGAGAAGAGGATTTGCTGCAGCCTATTTAAAGTTTTTCCCAGTCATTGAACAGGTTATTCTTAAGCAAATTCATGATTCATCACTTTCCACATAGGGGTGGATAGAATTGTACACACAGTTTACACTTCCTCCACACATGTAACTTGCTGCATAAAGTGCAAGGGGAGTAGATATTCAGGCCAGGAATCAGATCAGACCAGGTACCATACTGAAGAGACTATATTGTTATTTTCTTTAACAGTGACACAGCAGTGTCTTTTACTACTTAAATCTAAAAAAACAGAGCTGCATGTTCAAACTTCTGAGTCAGTAATTGTGGACTTGGCTTGGTTTTTCAGTTTCCAATGAGCTACACTTTGTATCAGAGGGAGAACACCCTTCGTCAGTGGTGCTCAACTATCTGGTATTGAGGGCCAGAAGAGTGGTGCAGGGTCTATCTGTGGGCTGATTCCCATAGGCAGGGTCAGTCTTTAGGTCAGATCCTGCATAGAAGTGGCACATGTGGTCAGTCCATGACTGTGATCCAGCATGCTGAATCCAGCCATGGCCCTGGCAAGTGTGCTGGCTTGACTCCATACTCTGGATTCAGCCATGGAGTGACCCCGCACACTGGTATGATCTGGCATATGGAGTCATGTCATCCAGCCGGCAAGGCTCCCCCTGGTTCTGGAAATGTGGTGGTGAAGAAACTGCTGCTATTACTGCTGACACCATTCCCCTGTTGCCAAACTTTCAGATCTGTGGGGTGGATGTTGCTGCCCCGCAGGCTAGAAGTTGAACACCACTGGCCTTGTGTAGATTTCAGTCTAGACTCTATCAGTACTGCCTCAGGGGATTGAAACACCTACATCACCCCCTCATGTAAGTAAGAATATGGCTTTGTTTTACAGATTATAATGACTATGGAGATTACTGGAGAGGAAATTATGAAACAGATTTTCCTCCAGAATATAGATACAGTCGTAACCAGCTCATTGATGATGTAGAACGGACATTTGAGCAGGTACAGATTCAGTGCCAAGTCTTGCGGGATAGTTCTTTATTGTGGGGAAATGAGCTTCTTTTGCTATTTCTACAGGTTTGTTTTTCATGAGGAGAATCAATAGCTCCAACATGAGCTGTTGATGCTGTGGGAAAGTGGTAAAATTCTGGCAAGTCTGGTGGTTTTGGTTTGTGGAGGCACAGACTGGTTTGGCTCATAATAGTTATGGTGAAAAGTAGGGTTGCTTTGCACCTTATCGACTGAATCAGATAAGGTGCAAATCTACCCTGTCTTTCTGCCTGACTTCACACTAACATGGCTGATTACTTCTCTCATAATATTATTATTTTCACAATGCTTTCACTTTCATTTGGAGCTCTACATTTGCACGAATATAAAATTTCAAGGCTAATCTGGGGCAAGCCCCAAATTTACGTGAACCTGGCCCCTTTGCTAAAATTAGCTCCCGTCCTTGGTCCAACAGGCCTCAATTTATTCCAAAGTCTATTTATCCCATTTCCAAGGGGCAACCGTGGGAAGATAGCTAAGCATCGAACCTATGCTTTCTTGCTGCATAGGGGGAAAGATAACCAGGGGTAGATCCAGGGTAGGTGCACTGGTGCACTTGAACCCCTCTTTGATTCCTGCTCCATCTAGAGTTTGAAACTGGCTGTTTGGAAGTGGCAGCAGCATTTCTAGTCAGGCAATGCTGAGGGAGCTACTTGACTTCATGGCTCATTGTCATCTACCTCATCCTTCTAAGCTCTTCATTCCACAGGTGTTAACAACCCTCTCTTCTTTTTAATGCTCTTGATGTTCCACCAACCAAGCTATCCTTAGTTCTGAAATTCTGCTATCTGTTTGCTGCTACTGGTAATGATGCTCCTACTTCACAGCCCTGCAAATTGTTTTGAATACATTCCAGGAAGTTCTATTAGTTTTTTCTTCAAACTAAAGTATAATAATAATAATATAGCCCTAGGCCCCTCACATATTAGTAAAACTTCTATTTTATTTTTTACTGGAGAAAAATATGTGTTGTGATGAAGCACTTCACGATCTGCACTCCCCCCTTTTTGAAATTCTAAATCCAACCATAGAGATAACTCAGGTAATTTGGGGTCCTTCTCTTGTATGGAGGTTGCATCTGGCCTTACAGGGCACGTCCCCATGAGTGGGAACATACATTTCCCTGGGAACAAACAGCAGCAGCACAATATATGCCCCTGCAGCTTGTTCCTAGGAAAAGCCTGTGCATGCACACTCTGGTGCATGGCATGTTGCCCCAGGTGGGGTAGGGGAGATTGGGGCTAGCACCTGGGCTGGCCCCAGAAGCCTTAGCTAGGGCCCCGAGGGCCTCTGCAGGCTGCAGCCATGGCGATCCAGCAACATGGAGCCTGGCTGGCAGCCGGAGTGTGGCTCTGGCTAGACAAGCTCCAGTTTCCAGCGGCACACACTGCTGACATGTGCACTGCATTGCTATTTTAAGGCATAGGTTTTTTTGACACCATGATCTCCCAGTGCCAACCCGCCCCCAATGCAGCACCGCATACCACATAGCCACACTCATCTGGACATGCCCACAGAGTATATCTGAGCCATGGGTCTGTAGTGACCTCTGTTAAGTGGCACTATATAGCTACCATATGACTTGTTCCTGAGCAGTATCAGTAGGGTCAGGTATGAGAGTCCTCCCTTTACTGTGGAGGAAAATGAATGATATGTTCTGGAGTGCATCATCACTTGATCTAATAACAAGGAGTACAGTATCCAAGGTGTATTCACCTGCAACTCTACCAACATCATAAACACCATTATCTGTTTACAATCCCCCTCTGCTGTCTACTTTGGACAGACAGGATGATTTCTGTGTAAGAATGAATGAACACTGGTCTGACATCAGCTGCTGCAGAACAACACAAAAGCCTGAGGGAGAACACTTCGGCCTCCCTGGATACTCCATCCCTGACCTCAGGATTGCTGTTCTCAGGCAGAAAAAAAAAATAAAACCAGTTTGAATGGGGAATTGCAGAACAACAAATCATGCACAAACTGGACTGTTAAGTATAGTTTAAACAGGGGCTATCGATTCTTATCCCATTATCTGGATTAGCTTTTGTAACCCATTTGTTCCTATGGGTTCTTTGTGTGTATATCTCTCACAGCACTGTCCCAATACCTCTTCCCCCTCACTTTCCCTCTTGCTTTTCTACCTATTGTATTCTAATCATTCACCCTACTTTATAGTCTACTTTATGCTATCCTTTTACAGCATCTGAACTTGGGTTTACAAAAGCTTGGGCTTTCTCTATATTTAGTTAGTCTATAAAGATGCATACTGACCCTAGCTTCTAACTAACTTCAGACTAACACAGCTATCTTCCTCTTTTTGAAATATAGTCACTGAACGTTGTATTCATGTGCTCAGATTATTTAACAGGTATATTATAATAGCCCCCGCCCCCCCCGGTTGGTTTAAATTTCTAGGCTCTACATTCAGGATGTAGATTTAGATAAATTAATTCCTCTGTGCTATATCCCCTTTCTGTCTTTTCAGATAAAACCTTTATATCAGCAACTGCATGCTTACGTGAGATACAAGTTGGAACAGGTCTATGGCTCAGATCGCATCAGCAAAACAGGATGTCTTCCTGCCCATTTACTTGGTATGAAAATGAAGCTTTAATATATAAGCTTGTTTTCATAAATGTTTCATAAATATTTATGGGGTGGAGGACATAAACAGCTACATATACAGTAAGACATACAATGTACAGCTTGAGTATGTGTAAGAAAATGCTAACATATGCAATGAAACAAATTTAATAACTCACTACTGATTGTAAGCATGATATAGTATGCACTTAAATTTTTGTAACTTTTTCCTTTCCATTGAAGGTGACATGTGGGGAAGATTCTGGACAAATTTGTATCCCTTGACAGTTCCCTATCCAGACAAACCAAACATTGATGTAACTAATACAATGGTCGAAAAGGTAAAGCTTTTGGTGAGACTTAAAATGGGTTGCATTGAAAATTCGATTTTGCTGTGATTTATGTGGTTCTGTACATGACATTTTTAGATAGCATTTAAAATACATCAAATGTTTCAGCTTGCACCTGGAATACTATGGCTGGCCTGAGGTGAAGTCATGTCCTAGGCATTGAATTATTGTCTGCACATCCTTTCATAGTTTCCTTTATTCTTCCCCTGTGTTTATCTGTCTGATTCTCATCTGTTCTACTCTTCCTTGACCCCTCTTACTCTTTCTTTCCTCTTGTATGGTTCAATCTCAGTTTTGAATCCATTCCCCTCTTCTGCATCTGTTCCACAGATTGATATTTTATGAGTATAGAGAGTCCAATAAAATAGAATCCCACCCAACATAGTCTGAACTGAACAGTCATTACCAGGCATCATTCTGGTCAATCCATTTGGATGTTGCCTCCTGTTTTCCTCCTGTTTTCCTGTCTTATCTCCTTATACTGCTAACTCTAAGAACAGGGACTGTTTAGTAAAGTCCTAGTACAATAAGGCTGCATTGGAATTTGTAGCCTGAAATTCTGCAACCTGGTACTCTTATGAGAAGCAAGAGATATGGGCTTGAATCCCATCAGGCTGAGGAGAGGTTTCCTGGAGGTGTGCTCTAATACTAGCCTTAAAGAATTATGTAGTTAGGGGCCTGTCCTGACAAAGGAAGGTAGGCAGTGTGGGTTCCAAGTGAATGGAGATGCCAATGTCCAGCCTTGATCAGACTTTAAGCTTTGGAGAGGGATGAAGATAAAGAAAAACCTCTGTGTTCAAGTGGCTGCCTATATACATGCTCAGAGGTGGGGGATCTGGTCCTAAGTGACTTTGCCCAGAAGAAAAGCAGAGTAGAGATAGGAATTGCATCTGGTCTGCTACATCTCAGGCTTATACCCTAACCACTGAACTATACTTCCTCTCTTCCTGCTCTAGTATCTGATGTTAAGGCAGCAGTAGATCATTGCTAATGAAATTTGGAGGAAGATTTAGAATTTGAAATATAGCTATGGCCTGATAAATGACTCCTAAATTGTACTCTTATTTATTTATTATTTTTACTGAGATATGCTGTTTCTTTGAATTCTTAGTTACAGGCCCAATTCTCTTCTCACGCTCATGTTGCATCCCCATCTTTGACAAGTTACTCCTGATTTATAAATCCTCTAGATTACTGACAAGAATAAGTGCTTGCCATCTTATCTTCCTGTTAACATTTTCTATTTTGGCTCCTGGGTTATGAACAGGGATCCTAGTTTTCTCTGATTTAAAAAAAATCCCCAATGTTTGGATTAAAAGTAACCCCAAATCTACATTTTTCCATTATTAAAATGAAATGCCACTAATATATAGATATACATATAGTGGTATTTCATTTAAATCACAGAAAAAATGTGGGTTTGGGATTACTTTTTTAACCAAAAATTGGGAACTTTTTTAAATCAGAGAAAACAAGGATCCCTGGTTATCAGGGTGAGTTGTCAGGTCTGGCCGTTAGAGAAAACTAATACCATATTTGAAAACAGACTTTGATTTGAAGTTGTTGAAAAGCAATACATGTACAGTCCTTTGGGCTGGTTTTTGGCATTGTGGGATTGGACTACCGATAGAGAGATTGGTTAATATTATAACCAAATTATCATTGTCTGTTTCAGAACTGGAATGCTTCAAAAATATTTAAAGCAGCTGAGAACTTTTTTGTTTCCATTGGCCTCCCTCCAATGACTCCAGGTTTCTGGATCAATTCTATGCTTACTGAGCCTAATGATAGAAAGGTGGTTTGCCATCCTACAGCTTGGGATATGGGAATGAAGGATTACAGGTACTGAAACTACTGTGAATCCTTCTTACAGGTACTCACAGAGTGTACACATCTGTATATTCTGCACAGAATCAAACTGCTACTTTAATTTTATCACTTTTTCCTTAATTTTATATGTTTAAAAATAAAATTAAAGGTTTAGAGAAGTTCAAGGATTTTAAGTCTGTATTTGCAACCTGTTCTGTAGGGATCAGTGGATTACTCCCTTGTATAAATTGGAGGAGTTTATTTGTACTCTTGTAAGTTAGGGAAAGAAACAATTTCACATAACTTAAAAAAAAAAATCACAAATGAACAATGATTTCCTGAGACCTTCTAAGATGTAAGTCAGTGAAAAAATATATCCTTATGGGCATGTCTACATGGTCATTAATGCACAGTGGTTACTGCATTTTTAATTTAGTACTTCTATAATCAAGTACTAAATAAATATTCAGTAACTGGAATTACTGCACTGTAGTGCCGACAAATGCCTTTTTAGTGCCACTATTGCACAGTAGCCTAATAATACTGTGCAGTAGCATATTAGCACTGCCCATGCTGTGACATGCTACTCTGCAACATTATTAGGCTACTGCCCAATTAACATCTTGTGTAGATGAACCCCATGTACTTAATTAATTAGTATATAGTAGGAATGTAAATTTATATATAATGAGGCTCCTTGGAGGAGATTTTATCTCCCCTTGAAATCAGTTGTAGTTACCCTACAAAGAGAGAATCAGATTAATGGAAGGTTACAAAATATTGGTCAGTGATATGGGTCTGAAAGATACCTATCTTTCATCTTGCATCAGTGTCATTTGGTGGCCATGAAGAGAATCTACGTTTGAAAGTTGAGGTGCACCAGTATATCATTCCATACTCTACTGGCACCGATAAAAGGCAAATTGACATTATCAGCAATCAGCTTTTTTTAGTCTATGTGGCTGATAATGTCACCGATAAATGGTGCGTGCATGCATGCATGAAACCACAGTATGCACGTGGCTAGGAATGCACCTGGCAGCTTGGAGAACAGTGTCTAGCTAGTAAGTCTGTGACAGGGCGGAGGCGTTTGGGGGGGGCAGATCGAGGTCCCCATGGTAAGGGAGGGAGTAGGGCTGGGGAGTCATGGTGCCTTCTGGATTTGTGCACAGTATGAGGGTGGGCTGCCCACTGCAGGCTGGGGCTGGGGGCTGTACCTGGCTTCTCCCAGTGGGATGGCTGGGCCAGGGCTGCGCTCAGGGTGGGCATGGGCGGGGGGGGTGGCGGTGTCACTGGTGGGGACTGTGATAATAAAGGCCACCCATATTCCCCCATAGTCCTCCCTTCTAGTGCCACCACCGCCTACCCTGAGCACAGCCTTGGCTCAGCCCCCACTCCAGTAAGAGACTGGCATAGCCCCCAGCACTGGCTCACAGAGGGCAGCCCGCCCTCACCCCACGCACAAATCTGGGGGACACCATGACTTCCCTGGGGGTGCATGCAGTGGCAGGAGCCAACCCCCCATTCCTGCCCTCCCATGATCCCAGATGAGCTGCCTGTGGTGCCATCCTGTACCCCAGCTCCAGCTGGGCAGCACCTGCCCCAGCCCCACTCCCGCTTTCACCGTGGTGGCCTTGATGTGCCCCGCCGCCATGTCCCTTTCCTCCCACAGACTTACTGGCTGGATGCTGCTCTCCAAGCTGCCAGGCTGCATTTTGGTAATTGGATCAGTATCAGCCAATATGTCTGGTTAATAATTGGCTATTGGTATTGGCCAAAAAAATCTTTATTGGTGCACCCCTATTTGAAAGAATAATATTTTTTTCTGGTGGGTTTTAATTAAATGTAAATTGTAGAAGGCTGTTCAAAGGGTTGGAACATCAAAAATAGCTGATATATTTCATGTATAGTAACCAGTATTTGTTAGTTCTCATAGTAGTATTATGATATCCAGTATTATACAATAATATTATTGTATTGTTTAAACTTGGCAATGGGCATTCAGCTCAGTAGGCAGTTATTTACAAGCCAAGTTTTGGAGTTCAGTCACTTTTTACATCACCATGTATGACACGGACAGCAATATTCTTTTTGTCTCTGCAGAATTTAATAGCAACTGAAGGTATTGTGATTAAACTTTCTTCCAAATCACCTTTGGAGAGTTATCAAAAACAGGACAGGCCAAAAGGTGAATACGCTGGAAAACCATGAGCATGCCAAACCCTACAGAGTTCATAACTGAGTTACTGAGGTTGTTTTGCAACTGAAATGGCAGCCTCCAGTACTTGAAAACTGAACTGAAATTTCATAGCTGCACTACTGCTTCTTTTTAATTGCAAACACTTTGCATTGGAACACAGGATCAAGATGTGCACCAAAGTGACTATGGATGACTTCCTGACAGCACATCATGAGATGGGGCATATTGTATATGACATGGCATACTCCAACCTTACTTTCCTCCTAAGAAGTGGTGCTAATGAAGGATTCCATGAAGCAGTAGGAGAAATCATGTCACTTTCTGCAGCTACTCCAGAGCATTTGAAATCTATTGGCCTTCTAGAACCTACTTTTCAGGAAGACAGTGGTAAGACATTATAACACACTCATGTTGTATTTTCTAGCAAAATGGGGAAATGACCTGCATGCTTTGAAAATTCCATCCCAGTTACATATGGTAATATTATTCATTACTCATTGTAGCAGGGCACTAATATGTGACTACTCCTTTTAGGGCAGAAACTGCCTGGCTGGAGGGCCCGGCAGGCTAAACGGAGCTCCACAGCTGCAGGTTGCTTGAACAATGGCTGAATGGGATAATTGGCCAGCTCCTGCCGGTGGTCAGATGACCGGAAGGAAGTAGGGCTGGGGATATATAAAATCAGGCTGGAGCTAGCAGTTTCACTCTCTCTCTCTGAAGACTGCTAAGGGAAGGAGCACGGCCTTCAACAGCTACCTAGAGACCTTTGGTCACCTGCTTTGCTGCCTAGAAGGACTAAGGCTCTATGAGCCTATAAGGTAGCCAGGACTAGGAGACACTATCGTGGTTCTCTTTTCTTCTTATACACACTTCAAGAGGGACGCGGGGAATCTCGAGAGGGTCCAGAGGAGGGCCACTCGCATGATTAGTGGCCTTCGTGATAGACCCTATGGGGGGAGGTTGAGAGAGCTGAATCTCTTCAGCCTTCACAAGAGATGGCTGAGGGGAGATATTGTGGCCACCTATAAATTTATTAGGAGAGGTCAACGGGGAATGGGGGAAGTGCTGTTTACTAAGGCACTCCAGGGAGTGACTAGGAATAACGGGTGTAAACTAGTTGAGAGTGGATTTAGGTTAGATATTAGGAAGAAATTTTTCACAGTAAGGGTGGCCAGGATCTGGAATGGGCTTCCAAGAGAGGTGGTGCTATCACTTAGCTTGGAGGTTAGATAGTCACCTGGCTGGGGTCATCTGACCTCGGTCCTCTTTCCTGCCAAGGGCAGGGGGTCGGACATGATGATCCATTGTGGTCCCTTCCAACTCTACAATCTATGAATCTATGAACATGGTCTTTATTATCAGTGTTATGTTATAGCCCAGGGGGATTATGCTTGTGTTGCTGTATGTACTGGTGGACCAGGATGAGGCTATAAAGGGAGGTTTGGAGGCCTCATTAGTGCTCATTAGTGCTCAGAGAAAGGGGCATACAAACTGGGCATAGCCCAGTGAGGTGAGCAGAGAGCCCAGCACCAGAGAGGCACCCAAGAAAGGTACATGGAGATCCCAGCACCAGTGAGGCACCTGAGAAAGGGATGCAGATAGCCCAGCACCAGTTAGGCACTAGAGAGAAGGGAGCAGAGAACCCCATGACAGAGAGGAGCCAGAGAAAGGGACCCAGAGAGCCTGGAACCAGAGGGTCACATAGAGGAGATGTTAGTAGTATGACACCTGCAAGGCTTGGGACATGATAAGGGAAGGTTGGAGTCATGTAGTACGCCCTGGACACTAAGAGGGAAGCATCTCACCTAGAACCATGTATTTATTTTCATTACAACAAGGCATGGCATGCGAGGTAGGTGGATGGACCGCCCAGGACAGATGGGTGGTCCGATATAGAGATCGGCCTCGGGACAGTCCCTGTCACACCCATGTCTTCATGACAGTTATACTTTGCTCTTTTTTAGATACTGACATCAACTTCCTACTCAAACAAGCCCTCACAATTGTTGGAACAATGCCTTTTACTTACATGCTAGAGAAGTGGAGATGGATGGTATTTCGTGGTGACATTCCAAAAGAGGAGTGGATGAAGAAGTGGTGGGACATGAAGTATGTAGGGGGAACAAGAAGATGGACTTTTGAGAGAGGTTGGGAGGAGGGCCCAGGGATTGACATTACCCTGGTTAAGTTCACTTTATTGAACATACTTCAGGCTGCCATGATTGGGTCCTAACAAGCAGGAGCTGGGTTATTCCCTAAGTCTTCAGCTACCCTCTCTGACTCTCATCTCTTTGGCAGACTTTCTGCCCCAAATCATCACAGGGATAATTCAGCTTTAATTTTTCAGGAGTACACAAGGAGTCAGGGAAGTAGATGGGAATCCCAAGTTACTTAGCAAAACTAATCAGATGTGTTAAAGTGGCACTGAAATGCTGTCTAACTGAAGATAAGGGTTTTGGTACTCCTGATGCTGGGTGGACTAAATGTCTCCCTGGAATGAGGTCATTCGTTTCAGAGATCTCGCTGTGCGGGTCTGTCTTTATGGTGCAGTTCAGGATATCAGTTCCTCAGAATAAGCTCTATACACAGAACAACAGCAGTTTAGGATCCTCATTTAGTTCATTTGTAATTTCTGTTTGGAAGGTAAAAAAGATATGAACAGTGATTACTTGCATATATATTTTGTTTTGTGAATGACTAATAGAAACCTCTTTATTTTTATTTCCCCATTCCAGGAAAGAAATAGTTGGTGTGGTTGAACCAGTGCTTCATGATGAAACATACTGTGACCCTGCAGCCCTGTTCCATGTGGCCAATGATTACTCTTTCATAAGGTACTGACTTACATTACATTTGTAACTTACATTGTGGGATATACAACAAGCACCTGGTGACTAAAGCATCTGGGTTAAATTCTTAGGGTCAAAGTCTTCTTTTGTTTAGAACCTGACCTAAAACCTGCTGAAGTCAACAGGAGTCTTTCCATTCTAGGATCAGGCCCACAGACCAGTGTCCGTTCATAAGGCCGTGTTCTTATGCAGGACAAAGTGGCCTGGAAAATGCTAGCTGAGATCTCTGGCTTCACAGGGGAACTCTTCCTAGCATGAAACCAGTAAAAATGGGTATCGCTGTGACTTCCTGCAGCAATTAATCCCCTCCCAGCCCCAGCACAGGCACAGCTGTGGTTGGTTCCCTGGGACTCCCCATCCACCTGTGGGAGTGGAGAATGAAAGCCATTGTAACCCCAGATTGTATAATCAGAAACAGATTTTGGCTTTTTTGCTGCACTGGATTTTGGCACCTCGGGTTATCATGAAGGACCACTACAGCCTACCTGTAGGGTAACTTACTTACATGTTAGAGAGGTGGAGATGGATGAGATAGAACACTCTAAACACACTTTGAGCCCCAAGGTCATCTTTACATGTGCTCCGGGGTAAAGGAGGGGGGCACTTTAATTAGAGCAGCTCTTAGGAGCCGCTCTAATTAAAGCTCCTGCAGCACTTCATGTATTCAGCGTCCCACACTTCAAAATGGTGGCAGGGATGCTTGAACTAAAGCTCCTTCTATGAATTATCATGCATGGGAGAAAGTGTCAGGCATGTGTATAGGTGCCCCAAGAGTCTAGATATGCACACCACTTAAGACCAGCTTAAATTTCAGGAATGTTTCAAAAGCATCCCAGGAAAATCAAATACTGTTTTGAGCCAGTCCTCCATGAACCCACTCAATATTCTGTGCAGACACAGTTTTCCAAGCCTAGTATCTAGTCAGATCTCCAGGCATCCCAAACTGCACTGCTCCTCACCTTCTCCCTCCAGTACATGCAGGTTAAGGTGTTGCTCTGGAATGCAGCCAGAACTCTGTGGTCCAAACCTCTGCTCCCAGCTTCTCCCCAAACCAGGGTGGGCAGACTGTGTTGTGGTAGCAGAAGTGAGGACTGTTTTTAAGTCTCCTGTAACTAGGGGCCACATCAGCTGAAAGTTCCTGGCTGTGCTCTCCCAGCACTGGGGGTTGATGAAGTGCTCTGAGATTGGGCTCTCCCTGCACTGAAAATACAGCATGATAGGATCTAACACACACAAGTGAGAATATGGTGGCTGTTTCTTTGCCAAATGCTTAATGGAACATGTTGTTTCTGTTCCTTTGTCTTCCTTTAGATATTACACAAGGACCATTTATCAGTTCCAGTTTCAGGAGGCACTTTGCAAGGCTGCTAAACATACAGGTCCTCTTTACAAATGTGACATTACCAATTCCATGGCAGCTGGTGACAAATTGCGGTAAAAAACTACAAAATTTGCTGTATAAAAGAAATTATAATAGGCTTAAGTCTGATGCATTC